CCGACCGAAGGGAGGTGTAAGCGTTGTTTCGACGAACTAGGCCAAACGTTGCCCCCAATCAGGTTTTGTTATCAAGGGTAAGAAGACTGGTAGATTCGTCCATTTCGAACGTCTGTATAGCACATGATAATGGCGCCGAATTCGTCGCCGATGTCATCACTGCATTAAAATTGTTATTTGCTGATATGTGTTTTATTAGAGGTCGGCCAAGACATCCACAAAGCCAGGGTTTGGTAAAAAGAGGTAATGGTGTGCTTTGTGATTCTTTAGGTAAATGGATGTCATCAACGAAGTCAGAACATTGGTCGGATGGTCTGTGCCTGTTGTGTATGGAATAAATACACGCGTGGCATGTGGTATTAAATGTACACCACATGAGATAATGTTTGGGCAGTAGCCGCGTTCAGATTCAGATTTTTGGCGAATTATCAAAGATCAAAATGTTACCAGTGCCAGTGAGTTAACAACTTGAAAGAACAGTATTATAATAGAGAAGTGAAAAAACAGTCAAATGTAATAATGAATGCGGAAAAAGCTGTTTATATAGAACTAAAGGTCTCTTCATATCTGACGTCTTCTCTGTTTCTTTTCCCCATTTCATTCATTATACATTCTTTATATCTCATTGTTCTGTCGTTATTGTACCTGCGTCTAATATATTTCATATAATATATTTTTTCTAAAGGCATTTCTAATTTTGCCTAAATCAGTACAAGTTAACTTATCTCATAATAGACAATCTCTAGCTAAAATTTATAGTTTTTGCCTAGTGAAGCCTTAAATTTTAATTTTGGCTTGAAAATGCTATTCAGATTCTAAATTTGGCTGAACAATCTTCAGCCAAAATTGAAATTTTAATTTTGACTAGCCAAATTTAGAATTTGGCTGGCCAAAATTAAAATCAAGAATCTAATTTTAATTTTGGCTGGGAATCGTCCCCAAATTTAAAATTTGACTGAATTTTAAGTTTGGCTACAACATATATATGCTACCGATGATCATATGATCTCGAATGAGCAAATAAAAGAAAACATTACAGCGCTGTCGCTGCAGTGATCACACTGGAGTTGATGAAAACAAGTCTCTCGTTTTTCCTTTCTCATGTCTATTTCTTAAGAAATACACAAAAAATAAAACGAAATCTTATTTCTACCTATTTGATTCTTCTTGCTCACTTATCCACATCGTGTGTTATAACCGCTGATATTTTTGTAAAATTAGAAAATACTTCAAATGGCAACGTCTAGTTCCATTAGCAGTACTTCTGTCTTACAAACTGTTCAGAATAAATCAACTAAAAAAGGTAAGCCAAAGTCTTGTGTCAAGAAATTTTTCGTTAACTACAAGAACATGCCGATGGTAAAACGTCAAGTGAATGTTTGGTATGTAAACATTGATGGATTGATTCATTAAAAAATAATGATAATAAGGATGTAATTGTAACTCAACCAAAAACTAAAGATGCATTTAATAATAATAAAACAACAAAATACGGTAGTCAACATCCTCGTCAAATTGAATTAAACAATATGATAATCAATGATTTGATAATAGATCTTGGTTTGCCTCTATCGATTGTTGAACATCCCGCATTTTTACGAGCAATGAGTAAAGTTGATACTAAATTTCATCTTTAAAGTCGCTGAAGTATCTGTCGAGAATCTATACCTGCTTTACATGTTAAAATGATTCGTGAATTGAAAACAATATGTACAACTGCTGAATTTATCTCATTGACGCTAGATATCTGGACTGATCGGAGAATGAGACCATTTTATGCTGTAACTGGTCATTCAATCGTTGATTGTGTTTTTAAATCATATGTTCTCTCATTTTTGCCATTAACAGGTATATCTTTAATCTGATGTATTTGAATGTGTTTTCTCACGCGACTTTTTTGCTCTAATCACAGGTAGCCACACTGGTGAAGCTTTGCTAAATGAATTTGAAAAAATAATTTCATCAGATTATAATATTGAAAACACACTTGTACGACTGGTAACCGATAATGCTGCTAATAATGTTAAAGCATTTAAAAGTTTGATAGTTCCTGGTTTTGAGCATTATTTTGAAGGTGATGATGATGATGATCCGGAAACAGATGAAAATAATTTAAATGATAATACTGAAAATATATTTAACACATTGGCAAATAATAATTCTGTTAATTTATTACGTATTCCGTGCTTTAGTCATACTATACAACTTGTAGTGGCTGACTGTTTAAAAGAATCGAGCTGTGCTCGTTCTTCGCCGATTAAAGTTGCTAAAATAGCGAAATACTCGCATCAGAGTAACAAATTTGGAAGCCAATAAATATTCAATACCGGTTGCTTGTAAAACTCGTTGGAACAGTCAATACAATACTGTTATGAAAATAATTGAAATACCAGTTAATGTATTAAATGAATATTTGAATCACTGCAATAAAGAAGAATTATGTTTAACGTCAAGAGACATTGCAATATTGCGTGAATTCCTCTCGTTGTTCGCACTTTTTGCCGAAGCAACTGTGCGGGCTCAAGCACAAAATTCTCCATCGATAAGTTTGGTCGCACCTAGTCTTCTTGGTATTTTTTTCGATTTGGAAAATGAATTGGAAGATTGTTGTATTTATACGTCGAGTTTATGTAAGATATTGATAACATCGTTAAAAGCTCGCTTTGGAGGTCTTTTCGAAAGATTCGATATTTCCATCGAAAATATGGTTAAAAAAAAGATACGTTTCACCTTTTTAAAGATGATATTTTTTTAATCACATCATTTCTCGACGCAAAATTCAAGCTCAATTGGATAGTTTTATCGGAACTTTCTGATCCAGTGAAAGAAAGTTTGTGCCAATTAATAAAAAAGTTAGTTACTGATGCTGCATTCTAATTAAATAGTAGTAATGATAGCAGTAGTTCGAGTAATTATTATAATGCAGCAGATGATGATAAAGGTGAAAGCTCAGGCATTGTTTCAGGTGAAAAACAAAAAAACACTTTTCGGTTATTGTTCATCACAAAATAAAAAACAAAACAAAAACGTATAGGCATACAAAATTCTATTCAAGACGAGATAGTTAGCTTTCTAAAAGTAGAAAGTGAAAATAGTTCACTTATTTTTCAAAAGAACACAGTATATCCGATTTTAAGTAAATTAGCTCAAAAATTGTTATGCGTACCTGCCACGTCGGCACCGGTAGAAAGAGTATTTTCACAGAGTGGTTTTCTTTTCCGATCTCATCGATGTAGAATGACAAAAAGTACGCTTTCAAAATTAACATTCTTGAAATGCAATTTTGAATTGTTAAAATGACTATTTTTGTGTGTACTCTTGTAGACAAAAGCGAAATAAACAACTACTAATAAAATAAATAACGTGAATCGTATCGATTCACTAAGTCCATTGACTGTAAGTCGAATGACTGTCGTGTCGCGAATATTACTTCATTCTGTTGTGGCCCGATCTTATTACTACAGGATTGATGCGTATTTTTACGATGAGTGCTTGCATATTTTCCATCGTAGTTTACAGAAGTAGTTGCTATAACTTTTCACGGGTGAGAAATGTTTATCAGAATTTCTGTAGTTCATCGAGACTCTGTAATTTGATTTGTTTTCATGTGCTATACAGACGTTCGAAATGGACGAATCTACCAGTCTTCTTACCCTTGATA